TAATATATTAATATAAATATATATAAAAAATAAATAGACCCCAAAACCAAACCTTGCCCTAGATCGATATCCACAGTCAACCCGTGGTTAAGCAGATCTCAGAATGATTGGCCTGACCGGATAGACCCGTTGATGGATCCGATTCAAAAATCCTCCGTATACACGTTGACTTCTGTCTCTTATTAGTCCTAGAAACCCCATTTCTCTTCTATGGACCTTCCAGAACAATCCTGATATCCTTTTTTTTTTTTTCTCCCTTTCTTCACTTCCGATTTTACTTGGATTTCCCTCTTCTCTTTCGCTTTCTACTTCTTCTCCTTCCTCTCTTTGCCTCTTTGGGAATTGGAACACACATGTATGTCTACGGTTCTTTTGCTTCATACATAATATCCCCAATAGGTATTCCTTGTTGAACATACCCCCAATCTCTCGCCTGAACATCCTATATGGTTCCCCAACAAATGTCCATCAACAAGCCCCAACCTCGCGGTGGACTCGGGACCATCAGAGATCTGTTCCGTTCTGTACCGCCCTCCCCAACTTCCCCTTCACGACGTCGAGTATCTCTCTTAGTCCGTCGAGGTAGGGATATTTTTTTCAAGTAACAATCCATTCCCAGTCTGCCTTTCATCCCACCTACCCCTCCAGTTCACTCGATTTGGGGCCGCAATTCGACCCCACTGAATTCCCAGAACTCAGAACTCGGGAAAAGAGGAGCAGCCCCGAACAAACCAGCAAAAAAGAGAGAAAGAACACGAACTAAGAAAGGCATCGGGAAAAAAAACAGACAAGTAGATCCTCCAAGGCTACAAACTTCAACATCAACCTCAACATCCTATTCGCCCTCACCTTCACCACACACATCCATGAACTCCCATCCACAATTCGACCCGGCCACCATGATCGGTCTAGCTGGTGCCTCACCAGGAAGATCAGACGACAACTTCGATATTTTTGAATGGTACCCCCACTATCAAAGCTGTCAACGTTACTTTCTAGATCACGCCCAACACAGCGTCCCCGTCCAGGCCCTCTCCACATTCTTAAACATCCGACTCCCCTTCCAGCGCCAAGCGAACCCAATCTTCAACTCAACCTCACCACCCTCTTCCTCTACCAACCACATCCCACCCGGCACACAAACCCCAGGCCCACCCTCCATCTCGTTGATTCCCTACATCCGCCGCCTAGTCGCAACAGGAATGGACTTCCCAGGCGTGTTGCACGGTTTCTTCGGCGACGACTGGGGTAGCGGTGTGGGACCCATGCACGAGCAAGAGCGCCGCAACTACCTCTTCGCCGCAAAGAGCGGTGGCTGGGCCTCCGTGAAAAAGGACTACGACATCCTCCCGCTGGAGACCATTCCGTTCCTGCGTCCTTTGCAGGGGGCCCTCGATGCCGAGATCGAGGCTGCCGAGCGCACCTGGAGTGAATGGCTCGCTATGGAGGATTGGATGGTTGGTCCCCGGGCACCTGATATCATGCACGACTCGTCCTCGCAGAATTCACGGCCGCGGAGTTCGCGCGGCTGAAAAGGTTCATAGAGGTCTGTTCTTTTTTCGACTCTGAGTCTCTTGTCTTTTCATATCTGGTCGGCGGCATAGCGTCTATCAAAGCCCTGTTTTTGGTTTTGGGTCTTCACATCTAGCGGTTTTGTTTCTTCTTTCTTTCCTTCTTTCTTTCTTTCTTTCTTTGGTGCTTTGTCCAGCGGCTTCTTTTGGTCAGCATCATTGCAGCGATCCTATATATTGGGTATGGGCGACTTGTGCTACGGCTTTCATTATCGGGGGGTTTATTTGTTCTGTCCAGGTTTTATTAGATCGGATGGATAGATGGAGATATATGCATATTGCATATATATACACTCTCAATCCATACACAAATTGCGAGTCAATTCCCTCCCTCCAACAACATCTATGGGAACAATGGAAACCAGCCGAGGCTACTGATCTCGGAACTAACATACAAAAACAGTAAATGAGCCAATAATGCGCCTTCAAGATGGTGGAAAAAACTAAAATAACTCACAATAAAACCCACCCCCTGAAGCCGATAACTAAAGCCGATCGCACTTGTCCGGTTTAGTAGAATAGAGAAATACGAAGGGCATATTTCAAGATAACTGCACACTATTTCGGTCTAATACAATTCACTGAATCTTGGTCGAGTCGCTATCGGTAATTGTACCAACAAAATAAACCGAATCGTCTCTTCAAAAGGTAATGAACCACTTGATCTCAACCCCACCAGTTTGCGACTGTTCCGCTGTGGACTCCACCAAATCCAATCCGAGGGGCTACCGCCGGTGGCTGCCCCTTGGACGCTGGAATGGCTGTGCGTTTTTGGAGGCGCCTTTTTTTTTTTTTTTTTTTGGTTTGAATATCGTAAAAGAGTTGGAGTAGGAATCCTGCGTCCACTTTATTTTACAGATACAATAACTACGTTGTATGGGTATACCTAGGTACATTAGGTATATATTTTGAGTTTTAGTCAAATATAGCCCCTAGTTAGCCTAATTTTAATGACTTTAGTTCAGAGGTTGATAGACAAGATATCAAAGACGATCGTTATATATAAGATGCTGGAGAAACCCCCAAGGGTCAAAACCATTTGCCAAAATTGGAAGATCATCATCTACTCCGTTACCTCTTGAAAGGAATAGGGACATTTCAGAGAAAAACCAAAGTTTATCCTAAAAGAGATCTGTACAACATACTTTTAATTTAGTAATTTAGCCTATGAGATGAATCGGTGCAAGGCATCTCTTGAGGCGTAGCTGAAACCGGAGACGCTAGGTAGTTCTTCTAGGCCTTTAGCCCTTCTTATAGGCTTTTGGCTTTTTGGTTGGATTTTAGTTCGACGCTTTCGACGCTACTTTTGCCACCTGCGGAGTCGCCCTAGTCTTCTGCGACCCCTGACTGGTGGCTTATCGCAAGAAAATTCCCCGAGATCACCACTTTTTGAGTGTTGCGATCGGAGGCTCTGGATATTGCATATGTTTCATCGGAGATATCTGAAATCCGGGTTGAACCGACGAAGCGTTTACCCAGACATACAATGCTCAGCAACTGAGAGACTCATGTTTTATGCTGACATTTAGTTCTGGCTGATGTATCCACATTCTAACTAGTTAACTAGTTAGTTAGTTAACTAGTTAGTTAACTAGTTAGTTAGTTGGTGAAGGTTAGTTAGTTGAACGTGCTCACTGAGTGTATGTACCCACTAGGCTAAGTAAGTATGGGTTCATATTTTCGTCTAGTTGGGAGATCAACTTTGCGTGAGGTCGGAATAAATGAGCTCTACTACTACTACTGTACTGTAATTTCCCTACTGTCTTTCTTACAGCCGATCAAATCAATGGCAACTGGTCCCGGAAGTGTGGAGGTTGAAGTACCTTCGCACTATTTTCCCCAACAGACTCAAGAGCGAAGAGGAATGTACTAGGATCAAAAACAATACACCGAGATCTGAATAGAGTCCCAGAGCTCCATATGGCAAGTTTACAGAGTTACGCAAGCCCGAAAGTCGCTACCGCTAAAGCCATCGCCCGAAGCCGCCATTGAGAAAGATCGCCCACACGCATGTGACAGTACCGACATCAAAGTATATATGCTTGATGGTGCTAATGGTCTAGGTATAATACCTAACTGGTTAGGTACACATTGCGACTGGTACCATCGTTGCATTTAGCCTCCCCAATTCGTGCTGCCAAACAATGGCAGCAAGTACCCACCAGTCGAAACAGTGGGGAGGGGCCAATACGCGGCGAGAAGGTATAGTGCACATCGCCTGTCATGAAGAGACTCTCCTACTAGTGCCTGAACTATCCAACCTCCACTCGGCTCTTCATTACGTTGCGTAAGACTTACGCTAGCGGTATGTTTACTATGCCTTGAGATACCTGTTGAACTCCCAGGCATGCATGCATAATTGTTTGCTGCAGACTGAGCCTTTTGATATTTGTTTGCTATTTGCTATTTGTTTGCTATGATCAGATGGTTTCTACAGGGTATATAAACCCCTACATTATTAGTTTTAGCAATTAAGAATCTTTCTTCTTCTTTTCCCCACTCTCAGTAGTAATCTACCATAGATTGTTCAATAATACCCCCTAAAGGTGCCGGGGATCGATATAAACCTCCGTATCAAGGGTGGTCTCATACTCTACACATAGCAATCAGTAGCGGGACAGTCCTCAATCCTAGACCTCATTCTTATGATACAGCGAAGCGCTTTCGTCTAGAGCCGACATTCACGCCGTAACTAAGAAGGGCAAAAGCTGCCTTAGCATGACCAGCCATGATATCCTGATGATCCGACTGCGGATGAAGCACGGAGCCATGATTATGCCTGGTGACATCGCATCAGCAGTCGAAGCTGGTCAGGTCGGTGCACTCCATGAGCTCTTGCATGCAAGAGATAATTTATTAATAAAGATATAGTAGGAATAAAGGTCATTTACCCCGAAACCCAATGGACCGCCATAAAGGCGTTCTCTATATAAAAGTGCATATTATTGTTAGCCAGTTATGTCCGCATAGATTGTCAAAACAGCCAATTTTGTCATTTTTAGAGAAATACATATATGTCGTCCATACCATACATTGCTGTGTACGTCTATTTCTGCCAAATGGCACAATTCAAGCCAATTGAGATTTTAGTCCCGCAATTTACCTCGATGGCCTTTGACCAAGCCAGTGACTACGCAGCCATTCCGGGAAATACACAATTTTAAGAAAGTGCTCTGCCGTATATACCGCCATTTGGGCTAGGAACCCTTTGCAATCCGAAAATGTCTAGTAGTCGTCCTAAGCTTCTGATTTGACGACACGATGCGCTGGACGACAGACGAAATGAAATGTATGAAGATTAGTGAAATTGTCTTAGCGGCAGGCCTCACAAAACAATTGAGTGGCACCCTTCTATCATCGTGCGACCTAAAGGTTATGTTATATTCATGGGCCATTTCAAATAAATCGACCTGATCCAACCACTTAGGGCTAGAAATGAGGTATATATCTCGACCATGAAATCGTCTGAAAAGCACTCTCCGGCAAGCTTCTCAATCCAATCAAGTCTTCCGTCAAGATAAACCCTCGACCCACGCAATATATACAACACAGAAAGGAAACTGGAATCAAAGCCCGAAGAGGAATTTCTAACTGAGGATCATGTTCAGGATCAATATTCCTAAGCTTTGAAGCAAGACGGCCGATCCATCTTTTGGGTTCTGGTTTGTGGTTCAACATAGCTTGTGCCTTTGCTTGTCTTAGGTCTGCTCGGAACATAGTTTTCTGAAAGTATGCGGAAAGGGGGGCTCCAATCAACGCATAGGCTAGGGTATTCACACTAGCAATACGCCATAGTAATTTTTCCACTGCGGTGGGGAAATGAGAATTCCACGCAATGAGATACAGAGCGCTAAAAAAAACAATTGTCGGGGCGGCGATCATCTCAGCACGGGTATCCGCATTCAGGAAATTATGACTTGGAATGCGATCGTATGGTCGTCGCTTAGGCCGAGTTGCCAGCGGTATATGCATGTAGTGAAGAATCTGCATGTAATATCTCCAAAATCGAGCAAGAAACCCTTGGTCCCGCGAGAGGTAGTCAAATGGTGTTTCAAACCACTTCGATCCGGGGACTCGATGGTTGTTTCGAATTGTAGTCACAGAGGTATTGAGCTGCAAAGTGATCGACCTGTTGACATCCATGGGTTTATGGTACCAGCAGTATGATGTTATTAGGAAGGCTAAAATAAATGAAAGAGTAGTGATCTCAAGAGTGGTAACAAAAACACCCTGAGCAAAACGAAATATGCAGTTCAGGGTAAACCAGAGGGCTTGCGCTATTGTGAACAATCTAGATAGGTAAGAATAACATATAGAAGTTAAGTAATTTTGCACTGACCGAGCTAGTCCACCTGATTTATTCCTATCTTCGATTTCCTCTTCATTCAGATTCGGATATTCGACATATTTATCCTTAACCAGGATGTATAGCTGCTTTGCGTCCAAAGGGAATGAAGGTAAGTCGTTTTCTAGGGGCTTGATAAAAAAGCCTCCCATATCGGCGAAGAAGGCATGCTTGATAGTCCATTCCGTATATCCAGCCTCATGGAAATCCTGCTCTGTTAGCTTCAACATCACCTGGAAGTGAATAAGTACTTACTTTAACAGAGCGACGCGCGGATGACCATTGGCCCAGAGATAGCATCAATATGAATTCAGATCCGAGTAGCGTAATACAAGCAAGATCGAATTTGTATATCCATCTTTTGAATTGGCCGTCGGATTTAGCAGGCAAATTTGGGGCCACAGACGTCCAGCAACAGAGAACGATTGTGATAACACAAGTGAATAGAATACTCCACGTCCCTCGGCCGTCGGGTTCGTTAACCCAGCCACGTGGGGTAGCGATGGTATCGTTCATACTTAATAGAAATCCAATGATCAGTGTCATTAAGGGTCCAAGGGGAATCTATATAGCCATTGATACTATATTAGCGCAGTTTCAAGCTGATTATTAATGAAGAAAAATCCTAAAATAGCATTTTGACACGAGTGTTTGATTACGCGCCCATAAAATTGGAAGCGTAAGAGATGCATAGCAGAGCAGCCGGAACTGGCCAGTTAGTAATCTGATTCGAGCGTCTTAGCCCCACAGCCACTTTCATCAAAATTGACACAGTAGTCATTGGTTAAAAAGCGAGGTTATTGGTAGTTAGTACTTTGTATCAACATGAGCCACACGTTGGCGCCTTGGCAATCAAAATCTGATGAGAAATCGGGAACCTTCAACTTACCAATTGCAGGAACCGCGACAACAGAATCTTGAAGCACCACCAACAAAATATATGTTGTTGTGTAGATTACTACTAGGTGGGGAGAAAGCAGAAGAAGAATGATTAATCTATTAAAACTAGAAATGCAGGGGTCTATATACCCTGTTAAAACCATCTGAACAAGGAAGGCTCATCTCATTCTGTAGCAAACAAGCAAACAAACTAACAAAGGCTCAGTCTGTAGCAAACAAAGAAACAGCAAATATGCATGGCTGGGATGATGCTCCAACATATTAAGTATTGTTTATAATTAAATTCCATATATTTCAGATTTTGCTGCGTGAAACAGAAAAAAACAGAATTTGGATGAGTTGTATGGCCTCCAAGGCACCGCAAATGCCAATGTATAATCCTTTGAACACCACGACTGGTATAGAGCCTGATATAGCTCTGAACGAGATTCTGCCGTCTGGTCTTAAGGCCCGGCGATTCTATGCTTCAATGGGCAGCCAAGGCAGGCGCTTGCTAGGTCTCATAGAGCAACAGCTCTATGGTTTGCGGGGAACGTGGCGTTGAGTTTAGCTTTGACAATTATGTTGTATGGCGATTACAAGGTTCTGGCCCATGGAGAAGTGGTAGAAAGATACTAGTTAACTAACGAGTTTGGCATCTCTACCATAGATTGAGAGTCCACTTGACCACAAAGCCTGTGTTGTAGATGGAAAGTAATTGCAGATCGCTCTAGCAATCCCAATGTCGTTAGCTAGGCCAGACTGCCAAGTAAAAATCTTAGAAGGCATGAGGCTCCCATACGCGTCTGGTACGGAGTATAGGTGGCCGGTAGAGCCCTGTTAAGAGGAAATGATCGTGAGATCGGAATTAATCCTTCCTTTCTAGCCTTTCTAGACTCGGGCCGCCTCCCTTTCTGGGCCCACGAAAATGATTCAGCAATGTTGCTTATCTTGGTACGGCTTGATTAGGGGGCCGAAAATGCAGAAATGGATTTCGGTGAGGAACCCCATGGGTAAATGATACAAGGTATGGGGTATTCAGGTCCGCCGATCCCATTCCATGGGAGGTTTTACGGGATCGGAAGGTTCGGGTGGCAATATCTCATGACATCAATACTCGGAGCAGGGGAAGCCGGTCTTGCCAAACCATAATTTCATAAGCCCTCAATCAACCGATGGACTAGGGATATCCCTCTTGGCAGCAGATGAAGGGGGGATTCCCGACAGTGGAAGAGTTACTAACATGATTAAGCGCAACTCTTATTTGAGTGGTTTAATATAGAGGAGTCGAATATAAACAAGTCCATATTGTAGTTATAAAGTGGGAATTGGCTCGCTACAGGTGACTTTGACCCGGGGGGATTTTACTTTTTGGCGCTCCCAAGAAACAGGATGAGCGTGGACGAAAGTTGCCATGTAGGGATGGATGATATGATGGGGTAATTTCGGACGAGGTCCGAGCCGCCGCATGTGTCAAGGCTAGACAAGTTTCTTCGCCTGGAATCGAGCTCGGGATATCGTCGGCAAGACTATGTGTTGTGTGTCTTACGCCCCCATATTATATAATACTGTGCCGCAGTTGAGGCGTGGGGAAATAATATCATCTGCGAAGTAGTGTGTACTTACTTACACACGAGAAGGGAATACACTGGTTAGATGTATGTTGGTTGTAGAAGCTATAATTGAAATACCTGGCCTCAATGCTTCTTATCCCAAGACACGGAAGACGTGGCTTAAATATCGGTAATGGATTCAGCCTTTGTCTTGGTATCTCTCCATCGGCTTTGATCTCCCCGGGTTCATGTTCCTATCGGCAAGTCTTCGGGGAAAAACAGTCGGGGCCCCAGCCAATCCCCGGTCTAACGGAGCCATCCGGGCCGGCATTTGAGGGCGAAGGAAACCTCGCCCGTGCCGGTTCCGTGCGGTTTCTTCCATTTGGTCCTTCCATTTGTCAGTTGATTAACGTCTTTGGGGGAAAAGAGTGGGGCTGCGGGGAAATTTTCTGGTCAACTCGGGAACTCGCGTCGCTCATTACTCGATTAAGCTAGTCATGTTGGGGTCGTAAGTTCCCGACCATTCCAACAAAAGGCTTAAGGCCTGTAATATTACAAAATGAATGTACGTTGGAATTTGGGCTTGTTGCAATGCCAAGGCATTTGAGGGAGAATATTGACGAGAAGGGGGTTGGGGGAAGGACAGGGGCTTTGGACTTCCTAACGTACCCCACTTCAGCTGTTTATGCAGTCCAAACTCTGAGCCTTCAGGTTGACTATGATTGAAGGTGCTGTCATCCTAATACGCATCATTCCCTGTATATATTACTAGACTGAAACCTACACAACGCCACAATAACACAGACTTGGTACAATGTGCGACGATGGTTTTAAAGAAAAAGAAAAGAAAAGAGTTAATTGGATAGTCTGGGGAATTTGTGGGTCCTGTGGGGGTCTGGGGCATGGAGGTCGGGGAATGGGGGGGGAGAATAATATCCCGCAGACAGACTTTTTGGAAAACAGTCCTTATATAGAGGGCATTAGGGTAGTCTCGTCCACCCTTTTTTCTCTTTCCCTTCTAATCCTAAAGCTTTCTTACATGATCGCTCCAACCCACACAAAATGAGCGACCATGTTGAAAAGCCCGACGCCATCGGCAAAGAGTTCATCGACGATGAACTCACGCCCGAGGAGCGTCAGCAGGAGATCGAGGCACGTGACCTAAGTGGCCAACAGTATCTCAGCAACGAAACAGTGTATGACAAGATCGCATATGCGCAGATACCAGTGCGCATGGGGAGCCCACGCATGCTAGTTATCACGCTGGGTGTGTTCGCCGCGTTTAGCGGAATGCTTAGTGGATTAGACCAGTCTGTGATCTCCGGCGCGCTGCCCGGTATTCGCAAGCACTTCATCGCATCTGGCGAGTGGGCCAGCATGGACGACCCGAAAATGGCGACTGACATTTCGCTGATTTCTTCACTCATGCCACTCGGCGCAATGGCCGGCGCTCTCATCATGACACCGCTCAATTTCTATTTCGGACGACGCAACTCGATTATCATCTCTTGTCTGTGGTATACACTGGGTGGAGGACTTTGCGCGGGATCCCGCAATGTAGCAATGCTATTTGCCGGCCGATTCATCCTCGGCATCGGTATCGGAATCGAAGGTGGCTGTGTCGGTATCTATATCTCCGAGTGTGTCCCGCCTGCGGTGCGCGGAAACCTGGTGTCCGTATACCAGCTGATGATTGCATTCGGAGAGATCATCGGATACGCAGCAGGCGGTGTATTCTTTGACGTTAAGTCAGGCAGCTGGCGCTGGATGCTGGGCTCGTCCCTCTTGTTCTCAACCATCCTGCTGGTCGGCATGTGCTTCCTGCCTGAATCACCTCGTTGGCTGGTATCTAAGGGCAAGTACGGCCGCGCGTGGGAGGTGTGGAAGTCGCTGCGCGATATGTCGGACCCGAAGAGTCTGGACGAGTACGTCGCGATGGAGGTCACTGTCAAACACGATGTCGAGCGGTCCGCAGACGAGCTCTGGTACCAGAGGTATTTAGAAGTGTGCAGACAGCCCCGCAACCGACGCGCGCTTGTCTACGCCACCGCGATGATCTTCTTCGGTCAGATGACGGGAATCAATGCGGTCATGTACAACATGTCGAACTTGATGGCCAAGATGAACTTCGACGACCGCGAGTCAGTGCTGATGTCGATGGTGGGCGGTGGCGCCCTGTTCCTGGGAACGATTCCTGCCGTATTCACCATGGACAGGTTCGGCCGACGTGTGTGGGCACAAAACATCCTGATGTTCATCGTCGGCCTAGCGCTGGTCGGAGTCGGCTACCTATACACAAACAGTGGTATCGATTACTTCAATGCCCACAGGACAACTGCCTTGGGATTGTTTTTCTCCGGCCTGGTGATCTACATGGCGTTCTTCGGAGCATATTCGTGCCTGACCTGGGTGGTCCCAGCCGAGAGCTTTGATTTCAACACCCGCAGCCAAGGAATGGCGATTTGCTCCGCATTCCTTTACTTGTGGTCATTCATCGTGACATACAACTTTGAGGGTATGCAGAAGGCCATGTCCTACACCGGCCTGACGATCGGTTTCTTCGGCGGCCTGGCCGCGCTCGGCTTTGTTTACCAGCTGTTCTTCATGCCCGAGACGAAAGACAAGACGTTGGAAGAGATCGACGAGTTGTTTTTGATGCCGACGAGTAAGCTGGTTTCACTAAACACGAGCAACCTGATCAAGCGCTGGCGGTGGATTGCGGGCGGCATGCGCAAGCCGGAGCAGATCGACACCCACAACCCCTGAGACTGTTCTTTCCACCGGACCAACACAATGTTCATGAATGATGGGTTATTTCCTAATTTAGCTTCGTCTCACATTATCAGAAATATATATGCATTACCTGATTATGAAATTCTTCTCATCTTGAGTAGTCTTCGTTAGTAGGGTGTACGTTTTTGTATGACCTCTTTTGACAGAATGCAGCTATGTACCTTGGACTTAGGTCATAGGAGTAAAAATGCACATCTCCCAAGTATCGGTGGCTGAGCTGCAGTTGTCATTGGCGAAACCCCGGCGGACAGGGTAGGCATATTGCATACGAGAGCACACTTGTAGCCGAGA